TGAAACCTGCATGAGTCAAATTTTTGAGACCTTTAGGCCATCATTTTTTTTTTAAAGCAGGAAAGAAAATGAGTGATAAAAGACAGAATTTAATGTGCTTGAAAAGGATGTGATGGACTAAATTGGGCAAATGAACCTCTGTGCAAAGTATACAGTGTCCTGGCAATTCCTTTTGAAGCAATTCAAGTCCCTGAATATCACCATGTCTAATGTAGTCCAATTCTTCAATATTTCCCACAGTTAAAATGCTTTATTCCATAAGTCAAACATGTATTATTCTATATAAATCTAAACCTCCCTTTAGCTGAATGTGTTTTGGGTTCTTGAAATTTGAAACAAGAGAGGTTCAACTTCAGATCCGAGTGAGTTTCGAAAATTCCAAAAAGAAAAGATTTTACTTGCATAGCTTCATCTTTTGGCAACACTACAGTGCTGTTGAACATACTCTCCGCTGATGTTAATGCATGTTTTATGCAAGATGAATCCAATGATGGAAACAGTGCCATGAATATAATTTGGTTGGTTTATTAAGCTGCTTTTTGACAGCAAAAATGAGATTGTCCATGTCCTCAAAATAAATCCCTTTTTGGTATTAACTTTTGTAGGAACAGCCAGAAATTACTGGGTGTCTATAAACAACTAAAAACTGGATTTTTGGCATTGTTTTGATCCTAGGGTTAATCCCATGAAACAATGCATTGAAATTGGCAGAGAGTATGTTGAAAAGCACTGAAGTGTTGCCAAATGATGAGGGTTTTGCAAGTGAATTTATTTTGTTTAGATTTGCTGAAGCTCTGTTGGATCTGTTTCAAAAAGCCTCACAATTTATGAACCAACCCTCGTGCACCTTTGGCTTTATTCCACCTTTTTATTTATTTTTTTCAAAAATTATTTTTGGCTGGCACCCGCACACCTTCACCGATGAGAAACCCCCGCGCACACACCCGAGTTTGTGCGATTGTGTATAGGAGGAACGTTTGGCCAGCATTTTTGCGAAGTTCGGTCGCCAGTCGTCCTCGAGGAGAGAGTCGGTCTGTGGACGGTGTGTTTCGTGTGCAAAAAAAAAAAAAATCTGTATTGTACCGAGTAAAATAGGACACCTTTTTTTCATCCTCTGTCAATGTTATCTCTGAAACACACTCATGTATAATAAAGTATAGTGAGTTCTCCTTACAACAAGCTCCCAGCAGGGACCTGAAGAAAAATTTGTAGATTGATGGCTTTTAGCACATTTTAGACTGCAATTTTGTGGGAAATGGATAATAAATGCTGAGAAGTTCTTTAAAAACAGGTTATTCATCACCTGTCATCGTTTTTAGGTACATATCTTGAAGAAATGATGAGAAAAGTTATGAATAAATAGTACGTTCCTTTGATTGGACCTGACTTGCTAAAAAAAATTTGGACTTGAAACATAGAATGAAAAAAAAGTATCAAATGAACAGGAAAACTTTTACGTTGCTTCCTTTTGAAGGTTATTCCTTCATACCTATTTTTCTTTTAAATAGAGAAATCTTCCTGTATTTCAAAAAATTTCAACAGAATTTTTATTTGAAAGAAAGGTACACATTCTGAAATGGAGCTCGAAAATTCCCAAGAAATGTACTGTATCAGGTGTGTTTTGTTTGGAACAGTGAATTAATTATACAGAAAGTTTTGCTTCTGTGAAGAAGTTAGAATGCTGTGCCATTTCATATTTTGCAATTTCAAGCTATTTTTAAATGATAACTGTGGCATATGCACAGAAATTGGGACACAAATTCGTTATAATGAGATTACATTCTAGAATGAGTTTGTTAGAACAAGAGTTTCATTAAATTGCACCTATGGGAAACTGCCAGCAGAAAAAAAAATCAATCGTAATATGACGGAAATTTGTTGAAACGAGATTCCTTGTAGGAAAATTTTACCTGAAACACTTGCGTTTCTGCATTTATTCCAGATTATTGTGTGTTTCTGCGCTGTACCTGCGTTAATAATCGAAAAAACCGGCATTATCATGGTGAGTTCATATTCAATTCAATTTGGTGTCTTGAAATGTCAACATTTTTGAAGCCATTGCTGCTGCCAAAAGAAAACATAGTTGTGGTGTCAAGTTGAATGATTCCTGTCCTTGTCTCTTTTCTTCCCCCCTCAAAACAGGGTCACGACTTGTCAGCACGCGACGTTGAAAGTGAGTCATTTATTTCTAGCACACTTTGTAAACAGTAAATTCTTGTTTAAAAAAAAAACTCCCAGGGAACTGATACAAAATTTGTTTCAATGGCGTTCATGGTTATTTTAGGATGTAGGAATGAAATTGTGTGGGAAACAGGTACTTCTACAACAAAAATGAGCCCATATTGCCCAAATTCCCAACTTCTTGTGATGAGATAATGGACAGAATTCAATTTGTGAACTACAAAAATCCATTTTCAGACCTTCCATTTCTCAAATTTTGTTTTAAAGACGATGCCAAGCTCACTGAGGTGTGAGTGAAAGAAACAGAAAAAGTGCGAGAAGAGCATTTATTCATAAACAGCTGTAGGTTTCTTGAAATATTAAGACTGTAAAATTTGTAAGAAAATCTAAATGAATTTTGATTTGAGTTTCATATATTAGTTCCTGTAATGTTACCTTTTGCACAAAAATATGAGCATATCTATTTTTGGAGGTGTTTCCTTCATGTAAAAGTCGGGTTTTTGCTTACGGTGCCAATTTCTAAAAATGTCTATGGCCCATCCACGTAATTACATGGAAAAGTCCAGGGTTAATACATAAGTTTTAAAACTTTTTGAATAACAGCAGATCCATCATAGCAATTCAAAATTGCTTTTACTCATCATCTGGCAACACTTCAGTGTTTTTGAACATATTCTCCACAGATTTCAATGATTTCTTTCCACAAGATAAATCCAATGATCAAAACAGTGCCAAAAACAATGTCGTTAGTTGATTAGGCTACTCTTTGATGGCAGAAATGACTAAATGAGGTTGTCACTGTCGTCAAAATCAATCGTTTCCAGATCATTCTTGACCTTCGCAATGAATTTTGTATCATGCATTTTTCTGTCAGAAAATCATTTAAAAAAAGCGTGACAATATTCTATGAAGGAGGATGGCTTCAATTATGAACCACCTTGTGTGTACATGCATAAACAGCGACATCTATGTATCCCTTCCAGCAACACGCATGTATACAGTACAGTATATACACACCATGAAGCTGAGGTCATACGTTGACATTCCTCACGTACAGTACACAACTGTGTCATCTATTTTTAGCACAAGTCTGTAAGACTACACTTCAGCAATAATGCGCAGCAGCGGTCGTGGGTGCTTGATGTATATAGGCTATAGAGATACCCTGAATTATGGACACCCCCGACATATGGACGTTCCAACTTTGGGGCACTTGAAAGAACTGAAAAAAATTGGCCTCTGATATCTGGACACTAGTGACTCAAGATATGGACACTTTTCTAAGATTTCTGGAAGATTTCAAAATTTTTATTTTCTGAAGTTCTTATTGAAGAAATTGAGGTATTATCATACAGTACTTTAAAAAAATGCTAAAAAAATTTCATTGTAAAATTACAGTTTCTGTTGTGTACATCACTTACACCTAGTGCAATTTACTGTGCAGTACAGTCTTCTTGATTTGACTATGCTTCAGAAAGACTTTGAGCACCTCTCTCCTCATAACCTCATGATTATGCATTAATTTCACATCAATCAGTATTAATAATAATAATATGACAATTGAAATCCATGTAATATTCTGTTTTATATATGGGTATAAAATATAATCTATATACAGTAGTATTGGAATGCTTTTTGTCAATTTGGATATAGACACATGACGTATGAATCTCATATAAAGTACTGTGGACCCTTGCTTAATGAACCTAGGTACCAGAAACAAGGTTGTTGGCTGACTTTGATTTTCCCATAGATTTCAATGGGGAGGAATCTAATCCTCTCTGTGAACCCAAAAGACAATTAAACATAGAATATAAAAGATCCAAGACCATTAAAAATAATCAGAATACATTTTTGTTGCATCTTGTATTTGCACAAAATGCTTTTACAGTGTTATATGGAAGTGTAGCACTGGTGAAAACAAAGATATATGAGCTTCACATCCAGAGAAACACACACTGAAGGATAAATGTCAGGTGAAAATGATTTTTTTGTTTGAATGCTGCAAGTGAAGATGACATAGACCTTCCTAACATATGTACAACCAGAACAACGAATCATGGAAAAGCAGATGATTCTATTGGAGAAAAGCATGTAAATAGTGTTGGTGAAACAAACTTTAAAACACAAGATTACACGCATTGAAGTCCCAGGGGGACATAATTTTTATTTTATTGCTTAAGGGAATTATTTTCCCTTGGATTGTACCATAAATGTCAGCATCAAACCAAATTTTCAATTCTAAAATTTAGAATTTTTCCTTGGAAAAAAGTTTGCTAGCCAACTTTTTCTGAAAGCCAAAAGTTTGTTAACCAAGGGCCCATCATACAGCATTCAATGTCTGCAGTGGGAGGAACGACCAGTAGGATCCTACAGGGGTCTGGGGGGGAATAATAAGGACGTCGTGTAATGTGTGTCTGTGGCCTTTTGCACCTTGAATTAATTTGCCTACTTGAAAATGCATCAATTAACATTATAAAATCTACCAAATCCAGATGGCTCCTATTCCGGGGGGGGGGGGAATAATAAGGATGTCGTGTAATGTGTGTCTGTGGCCTTTTGCACCTTGAATTAATTTGCCTACTTGAAAATGCATCAATTAACATTAAGTTGTCAGGATGGCCAAGCGGTCTAAGGCGCTGCATTCAGGTCACAGTCTGGTTCTGCAGGCATGGGTTAGAATCCCACTTCTGCAATAATTTTTTCATTTTTTTTTTTCGTCTGCACTGCGGACGCTCTACTACTTGATATGCACATATATATGTACATATATGGAGTTTAAAACAATGCCTTTATGCAGTAATACTATACAGTACTTGATGGGAATTGCAGGGGGCAGGTTTGCCTTCTCCATCTATGACTTTGACGGCAACGACACCATGGACGCCTTCTTCCTTGGCGACTGCCTCAGGGCACTCAACTTGAACCCCACCAATGCAGCTGTTGAGAAGTTGGGTGGCACCAAGTTGAAGAGTGCGTATACACACTGCAGTACAGCTATAGTACTATAAAAATATTCAGTTCCTATGGTGAAGTAAAAAAAAAAAATGATTGGTACTCATGAAACAGAGCAAAAGTTCCTCAAGGTGGAGGAATTCCTGCCCATCTTCGCCGAGGTGAAGAACTCCAAGGATGAGGGCAACAATGAGGACTTCCTCGAATGCCTCCGCCTCTATGACAAACATGACGACGGCAAGATGCTCTTTGCTGAGCTCCAGCACATCCTCCTGGCCGTTGGCAAGTATACTTTTGTCATTTAGTCATTCCTTTATGTTTGTTTAAAAAAAAAGGTTTTATTGCCTCGACCTTATTTACATTCTCAACAGCAGTGAAGTTTGCAACATGTTCGCTCTTATTAAAACTTTAAAAAATAATAAAAATTGGCAGAGTGGTGAATAAAAATTAAAAACTCTTCTTTTAGTGGGAAGAAATCAGGAAATGAATATTTCACTTTCAGAATTTTAAATTGGAAAGTTTCAACATTTTTCAATGAACAAATTATTTAATTCTGTGGAACATCTATGTGTGCAATCACTTTTCCAAATACTTGAAATTGCATTTGACAGCAACTTTTCATTGTTAACAGCAGTGGAGTTATCAAAACTTCTGCTTTCTAAACTTGGAAAGGTTTGACAGAGCTGTGAAGAATAATGTTAAACTTTTTTAAAAATGAGGAGAAATCAGGAAATAAAGATTTTACTCTTAGAATTTTGAATTGGAAAGTTCCAAAATTTGCAACGAAAAAAAATATGTAATTTTTTAGAACATCTATGTGCATTTACTTTCCAAATATTGCATTTGATAGCAAACATGTTTTAATGAGCTTAAAAGAAAAACAACATGCCTCTGGAACGTCGATCATGTGTCCTGCTTTTGCAAGTTTGAACATTTACACGTCACTCCTTGCAACAAAACTACATTTTCAAGCTTACCAAACCTCAGATTTTCAGATTTATTGGATGCGCAATGCAGTTGTCTACATGTCCATGATTTAAATATTGAACATCTTCCAAATTTTCAGAGTTACATACAAATTTATATACATTTAAAACTTTTGGGAGAAAGACTTACCATTTTTAATTTTAACAACAGAAATCTTCATCAACATTTATAAATGCATAGAAAATCCACATGAATGCAGCTGCATTAAAATAAATTTAATTACAACAATCTTATGATGAACTGTACATGAAAACAGGAAGTGTTTTGTAAAAATTTGTCTTCGTTTTTTAATTTTTAAATTGCTTAAAAACTAATATCCTACAAAACCAACATTGACCCCGTAAAAACTGTTGGGCACTTCCAACTCTGTGAACGCTTTGAAAATCCATTACATTAAAATAACTCACATTTAGCTATTTGAGATAACCGAGGAATTTAAAAGAAAAAAACTGTGTTTTTCTTATTTTTAAAGTGCATACAAATTCATAGATGCTGTACAACAAAGCATTATTCATCGCAGAACATGAGGGCACATTTTCACATCCAACAAGTAAAAATTTTCAGAAAAAAAATTGGTTGGAAATCAGATAATGAATATCAATTATATTCGATTTTCCTCATTTATTCTCTGCTTTTTTTTCGTATCATACACATCAGGTGAGCCGTTGTCTGATGCTGAAGTCAGCGTTGTTCTCAAGGAGTGCTGCGAAGAGGAAGACGAAGATGGCTTCATCCACTACGGACGTAAGAGTTGTTACTCATCTTTCCATCATTTACATACACTTAGATTCGTTCTCTCCTTTGTCATTCCCATGCATATAGCCTTTGTCCAGAAACTCATGGCTGGTCCACCAGAGGGCAGCTAAACGCCATCTCCATCAACCACGTCGACTCAGATTTTTGCATGATCGCCCGCTTTCATGCGAAAATATATAAAAGAGGATTTCTCCTGCATCATAATCTTCATCAGCACACTCAATATTATACTCATCATCATCCGACAACAATGAAGAGAGCATCAGTGACGTAAAATGGACGCTATGGTCTGCAGCAGAGGAAGAAACAAGAATCTGATCACCTCTCCGGAATTTCTTTTATTGAAGCGAAACAAATTGTAAAACAGAAGTAAAGAAGAAAAAAGGAAGTTCGTTGGCACGTATACATGCAGGATTTCTGCTATACTTACTGCTGCTCGTGACTCGTTATCATTTGAGAGGCATGTTGATGATGCTGAGACTATATAGTCTGTTTCACCTCTTATTCCCATGTCAGCACTTGGCAGGCATCAGCACAGAATCTAAAATGACACACCCATTCCAGCAAACATCACTGCAATAAAGAAGATCCAGAGAGTAAACAAATACCATATTTACTCCAGTACCAGACGCACCTTTTTTCCAGACTTTAAGCCAGAAAAAAGGGTGTGCTTGGTACCCCAGGATAAAATTTTGAGTAAAAATGTTGGAAAACCCTATGAGTTTCCTATGCAAGTATATTGAAAAAAAATTAAAGAGGAAATGCATGGCACCCAGTTTCATTGTTTATGAGGGAATAATGGTTGAAGGGATCAGATAGCAGTATAGATAGCATATACAGTATTACTTTCAAGCAGGACAATGTTCTGGGAATAATAAAAAAAAATTGGATCTGAGATGCAACAGGAAGAAAAGAATGTGGCAAATTGTCATCTATATAATAGGGGAAGTTGAAATTAAATGCCAGAACATTTTAATGCTTCTTCAGTAGACAATAAAAAGGAGAAAGCACAAACAATTGATCGTTAAAATGGATCCAAACAGGATAGGCATACAATTCACAACATCTAGACCAGAAAAATTGAGTTCACTGCCAGGATTTTGCATAGTAAGAAGCAAGCATTTATGTTTGTGTTCTTTCACTGCTAAAGAGAAGTTAAAAGTGATTTCAGAGGCTGAAAAATTAGGCAACTGTGCAGCAGGTCAAAAATTTGATATTCCTGAGTCATTTATTTGAGACTGAATAAGGCAGCTCAAATAATAAAAAATATTTTCAAAAATGTATTTTAGCCAGCAAAAACTGGGGTGTGGGGATAACATTTTGGGCCAGAATTTTGGGCCCAATTTTCACCCAGAAAATTGGGGGTGTGTGCCTTACTTTGAGGGGGCATGGTACTCAAGTAAATACAGTACATTTTAACAATACAACAAAAATACATTTTAACAATACAACAAAAATAAATTTTAGCAATACAACAAAAATACATTTCAACAATACAACAAAAATACATTTCAACAATACAACAAAAATACATTTCAACAATACAACAAAAATACATTTCAACAATACAACAAAAATACATTTTAACAATACAGAGGAATATCCTGGGTTAACAAAGTATTGAGTTAACAAACTCTTCAGTCAATGAACTTGTGGTTTTGAGGGAAAATCCCTTGTGTAACAAACCCTAATTCAGTTTAAAAAATTCTTTTGGGGGTAAAGTACTATATTTGAAAATTTAGAATTTGATTTGAAAGCTGAAATGTATGGCTCAGTCTATGCTAATAATTCACCCAGGCAATGATATGAAAATTTCATCTCCTGGCACTCTATTACTGCAAGTGATCTTGTGTTTTAAAATTTCTTTCACCTCTGTTATTTATACAGTATATGCAAATCTGTGCCAGAATTATTTGCTTTTCTGCACTTGGCTTTTCTAGTTATTCAATTGCTATAGACATCTCTACTTGATCTTTACTTGCAATCATTTAAAAGAAATTTCATTCTCCCCTGAAGTGTATCCTACAGTGTGTGTTTCTCTGGATGTGAAGATTTTTTAATCTTTGTTTTCATCAGTGCTACTTCTATGTAACACTGTAAAAACATTCTGGGCTCATATAGATGCAGCAAAAACTCATTCTGATTATAGTTGATGGTCTTGGATTTTTTATTTTATATAACTTTTATCTGGAACCAATTTAAGCCAAGGGTCCACTTCACGCAGTCAATTATATGCAGGTTATGGATATGTACAGATGAAAGTTGGTTCATAAGTTTTGAAACTTGATAAATTTCACCCAGCAGAGTTTCAAAAATTCTGAAAGATTTTTTACAAGCATATCCCCATCATTAGGCAACACCTAACTGCTGTACAACAAACTGCACCAGTTTCAATGCATTTTTCCATCCAATAAATCCCATGATCACAACAGTGCCAAAAAATTGAGCAACTGAGCACATTTTTTATTTAGTCAAGATTTTGAATGACGACCCTTCATACAGCTCTGGGATGCTTCTCAAGGGTCACACTGAAACAATTTATTGTTTGTTTTTGTTCGTCAATGACTCTCTTTTATTAAGGCTTTCACACAGGCCATATCTTGTTTAACAGTTGATATTCTGGAACATCCTCCATGCTGGGCATGCCTGACATCAAAATTCCATTGTTGAATTTTTATTCTACCAGAACGCAGTGACACTATCTGTAACTTTGTCACCAAGGCATTCTTTCATTCTTAAAAAATACTCCATTGCACTCAGACCAATTAGAAATTTGTAGTGTGCAAGTGTGCTGCTGCTCTTGGTTGAACTGCACTACAGTGCTTGGTGGGTATAGTAGGCTGGGTACACACTTCTGGGGATTTTTCTCAACTCAATTTTTAGTTGAGTGGGCTAAAAATGTATTAGAAGATTACAAAGGATTGTAGAACAAAATAAAACAATTCATCAGTGTCCATTGAAAGCAACTAACCAACTTACAAAACTTTTGAACCTACCCTTGTACGGTAAATGTATACAGACAAAATGCACAAAGAGAAAAACGTATGTGCTGAATGAATTGAATGCGTGTGTGTCTCTGTCAATCTCTTTTCCAAAATGAGAAGAAATTGCAAATCCACAATAAAAATCAAAGAGATGGAGAGGAACAAAAAGTTGAAAAGAATTCTTCCTCTTTTTGTGACATATCATGTGCAAGAACAACCTTCAGCAGCAGAGTCTGCTGCCTCCTGTGTATACCTAGGTGAAATAATATATGAGCATAGCATGCAGTTAATAAAACCCCTAAGTGTTTTTTTTCTGCCATTTGCTATCTGCTGATTCCTCTTTTAATGTCTTTTCTCTCTCTTTTTTCTCAACCACATTATATAGAGGACATCAGTCAGTGTATATTCTGTATATACAAAGATTGTTCCAAGTCTTGTTGACTGTGATTATTTCTTCAAAAGGTAGGATTTGAAAAAATATACTGTATGATGTGGCCCATTGTAAGATTTTGAAAATGTTGAAGATTTCATATGACAATTTTTGGATATTGAAATGTGGGACAGCCTCTGCATATACT